CTATTTTTACTTAAATTAAATGTTTATATTGTCAAGTAAAGTATTACTTATACTATTAAGCTATACATTAGTGAAAAATTATTGTTATAAACTATAACAAAAATACTAACGAAACAGTGAAAATTATTCATCTAAAATTTCTGAACTGAAGGTCTCTTCTTCTGATGTTTCATTCTGGAATCCTCTAGAGCTGAAGGAAACCCTAAACAAATAAATGCAGGGTATATATTGAAAGCGTTCATAAATGCTTTACAAAACACTTATGCACTTTAAACATTCTCGTTACGTCCATAGCATTCACGACAGGTCAATGAAGTTATTGCTGTATGTTCCTTGCATATCAGTGATCTACAGGTTGAAAAATTTCTCTGAGTGAACCTGTTTTTTCTCAATGTACAGAATTCACATCTCACTTTGGCTTGAGTGTCTTGGTCTCTATTTGGGGTTGGTCTTTCTCCAGTTATGTTTCTAATCTTTTGACTAAGTAGATAAGGCAGACTTGGAATCTGAGAACGTCTATACAGGTGAGGCATGACAAGCAATTTACTAAGTTCCGATATAAGTTGTCTTCTGGTAATAATATTGTTTGTATTCTCTCGATAGATTATTGGGCTGTTGATGGTTGATATATTCAGAAGGCCACAGAATACGGTATATGGCCATCTATTGCTGAATCGTGCTGTTGAGTATTCAGATTTCATTTTGTCGACCACATCTACGCCTCCTTTCGTAAGATTATAGTCTAATAAAATAAGAAATAACTTCGGGCTTGAAAGCATCTCCAGTGTCATCGTTGATCTTACTATCATCATGCAGGGTTGATGATAACAGCACGTTTTTGTTTCGTTTTGGTACATATGAAACCAGAAGGCACTAATTGGAGTTTTCATCCGTGTCTTCACCATATGCAAACATGCTCCTTTTTACTGGTCTATTTTTCACATCTAGAAGTTCTCGAGGAATTTGAGGCTTATTTTTGCGAATTGATCCTATTGTAGTTAGTCGATGGTTTACTAATAAGCTATTAGCCAATGGCACTGAGGTGAAATAATTGTCGGTGGTTACATTTCTTCCTGTACCACTAATTGGCTCTATAAGTCGCAATACAACGCTCGCCACAAAATTTGATGTAAAAAATGTTCTGGCGTCTACTAATCCATAGATGCCGTATTTGGCGGGCTTGTTGGCTATGTATTGTCTAAATCGGCATCTGCCCCGAAATACCTCCAACATTTCGTCAATTGTTACGTAAAATCCCGGAGAATAAGCTTGTTTACAATTTGTTTATCTAACCCGCGGCCGAACGCCATCACTCGCGTGCTAGACTGGAACTAACATTATGCGATTGCGGCACTAGAACAAAATAGCTCCTCCCCACGACCACAGATTCACATAGTAGATTAGTTTGAAGGGGTGTTCCTAGATGGTGGGCCTGCTAAGCCGCGAAATTTCAAATTTATGAGAAAAATTTAAAAAATGTTAGATTTTTTCTAACGGTGCGAGCGATGGAGGGTTAAAGGTGACCTGGAACCATAAGCTATAGCACTCCAAACCATAACTCCAACAGTGTGATGAACATGTCTTTCAACAAAAACTGTGGATTTCTCCTTTCACCACGTCGCCTTCTAACCCTGGTACGACCATCGTGCATGCCTAAACAAAATCGAGACTCGTCACTAAAGACAATACTGCTCCATTCCTGATCCCAGAGTGACCATTGTCTGCACCACTCAAGGCGATTACGTCGGTGTTCTCGAGTTAAAGCGAGGATCCAGTGTGGCCGGTATGAAAACAAGCCAAAACTTCTCATTCGTCGGTAAACACTTCGCATGCCAATAGGTCTTCCGTGTTCTGCAAACCATTCATTTGCAATGGACCTGGTAGTGGAGAAACGGTCCCTTAAGGCCAATAATCTTAGGCGGCGATCTTCACGGTCTGTTGTTCTACGGCGGCGTCCAGTGCCCCTTGCTCTTTGCGTACGGCCTTCTCGAAGCCATGCCTGACAACACCTAACCACAGTGTCTACACTTCTTTGTACTCTAACTGCAATTGCCCGAAAAGAAAGTCCAGCTTCCCGAAGTCCCACTATATATAGTAGTAAGTACAGGACATTTTTAAACGTATGAAAGTAAACATCGATGAATCGCATCTTGTAAAATGCCATGGTTTACAATCAAAAACTAACAATAATAAACAGCCTGCAAATTTTAATTCGTTTTTCATGCGATGAGGTTCCGTCGTCAATCCTTAAAAATCGAAAAAATTGGCGCTCTATGGGTGTGTTAATTATACTAAGTGACATATAAATCAGAACACCCAGTTTAAATGGTTTTATTTTAATAAAATTTTTTATAAGTTCTTAATGAAGCATAATAAGTAAATGATAAAAATTTCAAAATGATTGCACTGCTTTAAAGCCCTTTGACCTTTAATAATGTGTGGATGCACCCTGATGTGCTACGCATTCTCCAACGCGCCTAGGCATGCTTCTGATCAGGTGGTCAATGTCCTCCGGTGGTATCTCATTCCAGGCAACCACCAACTCCTCTCGAAGTGCTTCTAGAGTCTGAGGAGGACGTTGCAAATTGAGCAATCTCCTACCCATCATATCCCACACGTGCTCAATTGGGGATAAGTCGGGAGATCTTGGTGGCCATGGTAACAATGTGACATCATTATGTTGAAAGAAGTCTATTGTGACTCTTGTAACATGTGGTCGGGCATTATCTTGTTGGAAAGTTGGATCTGCCAGGGTGTCAAGATAGGGTAAAAGATGGGGTTCTAGAATATCGTGGATATAACGCTGCACGTTCATGTTACCTCTGATGAAGATTAAAGGTGACCTGGAACCATAAGCTATAAAACCCCAAACCATAACTCCAACAGTGTGATGAACATCTCTTTCAACAAAAAACTGTGGATTCCTCCTTTCACCACCTCGCCTTCTAACCCTGGCATGACCATCGTGCATGCCTAAACAAAATCGAGACTCGTCACTAAAGACAATACTGTTCCATTCCTGATCCCAGAGTGACCGTTGTCTGCACCACTCTAGGCGATTACGTCGGTGTTCTCGAGTTAAAGGGAGGACCCAGTGTGGCCGGTATGAAAACAAGCCAAAACTTCTCATTCGTCGGTAAACACTTCGCATGCCAATAGGTCTTCCGTGTTCTGCAAACCATTCATTTGCAATGGACCTGGTAGTGGAGAAACGGTCCCTTAAGGCCAATCATCTTAGGCGGCGATCTTCACGGTCTGTTGTTCTACGGCGGCGTCCAGTGCCCCTTGCTTTTTCCGTACGGCCTTCTCGAAGCCATGCCTGACAACACCTAACCACAGTGTCTCTACACTTCTTTGCACTCTAACTGCAATTGCCCGAAAAGAAAGTCCAGCTTCCCGAAGTCCCACTATACGGCCCCTATCAAACTCACTAAGTTGACGAAATCGTACAGGTCTCCGTACTCTAGGCATCGTAACCGATCGTAAAGGATGTCAAGAACCAAAATCCGCCAACGTTGATTCTTTACTGCGGCTGAAATATTCATTTTTAGAGCGTTAGTGAATTAAAAAAAAGCAGTATAAAAACCGGAATGTCCAACTGATAAGGCTGAAAATTTGTTCACTTGTTATTTACAGTAAGATAAATACATTCACCAACTTTTATTAAAATAAAACCATTTAAACTGGGTGTCGGATTTATATGTCACTTAGTATAATGATGATATTAATATTATTTGTCTTCAAGATATACACACTATGCTCAAAGCAATTGAAAATCAAGGACAAATAAATGGAGAACCTTTGACCCTTATGCGTCAGTGAAAAAAAAATACAAAATACTCTCATACTAATAACAACACGATAAGGTTTTGTTTATTCTAATACATGTTCTGCATTTCAATTCGGAGACAAATGGCATATCCGGCAATATTGTCTAGGCTTTGTTTTGTTTACTCTAGTATCTTTAGTGTCTCGATTAGGGTGATAGTTACATGTCGTCTAGTAGAATTTTTGGTTTTTCAATTATATCCCAGATCATAGTCCGGCCTTTTAAATACGTAAGAAGGAGCGACTAACTATGTAATTACATCAGGCGTAAAACTATAATGATGAAAGTGAGCCAAAATCGATCGGCTTAGTATCGGCTGATCAAACCATTACCAATATCTATAAGGATCGGATGTGTAACATCTTTGTAATCCCGAGCTAATCATACACAACTGCATGGAAGTGCATTTAGAAATCCTACACGCTTAAATCAGATTACGTTTTTCGATGAAAATTCTGTCCGTCTAGTATGAAATCGATTTATAAGCCTCCTTTCAAATACAGCGTTGACTAATCGAGAACAGTGCAATATTTACTCTCAGTTGTTAGTACTGTATTCATTTCCATTACTTGACTGTCAAGACAAATTCATTATTCTTCATTCAAAGGCAGACACCCGACACACCTCCCTTATATATATACCCACACATATAATCCTATATCCTCACGCAAAGTATACTTGCGAAAAATTACCAACACTTTGTCTAACAGCAGGGTAAATATGATAAATATTCTTGCTGCGGTTTCACGATGACCCCTAAAGCTTCTAGTATATTTCGTGAGTTGTTAATTCGTATCATCAAATATGGAATTTATCCACTTTGAAAATAGTGTACTTTCAGGTAATAAGGGTTTAGAAGAGAGTCTTTATATTTAGACTCATATATTACAGGTCTAATATTCGCAACGCCATTGTTTTCCAAGACATGTTAAAATGAAAAATAGCATACTCTGTTCCTGCACCACTGCCTTAAGTTCAACTCGCCTAAAGGCAATCTGTATGTACTCTTGGAAAGTGCGTAACACCCAGAGCCTTCAAAAAAATGTTAAATCCTACATAACCAAGTGGTACAACAGAGCCTAAGAACTGTTAAACAATTAATTGACCAATTGAAGAAATGAAAAGAGTATTTTATGACTTTATTTAAGTCAGCCGTTCTCGAAGTGTTTCGAAAAAGATGGTCGCGACATTTGTGTCGAAAGCGGGTCATATTGCAACAATTACTCTTAATGAGCAAAGAACTGTTACTGAGGATTGGTATACCACCGTTTGTTTGCCAAAAGTCATCACCGAGCTTCCAAAAATCAACCCTGAAAGAAGAATTATCCTCCACCAAGACAATGCAAGCTCGCACACAGCCCAAAAAACAAGGCAGTATTTAACGGAAGAAAACGTGGAATTATTGGACCATCCTCCATATAGTCCTAACGATTTCTTTACGTTCCCGAAAATTAAAAACAGACTGGGTGGTCAAAGGTTTCAGTCACCAGAAGAAGCAGTTGACGCATTCAAAAATGCCGTTTTGGACCTGCCAGCAAACGAGTGGAATAAGTGCTTTGAAAATTGGTTCGAGCGCATGAAGATGTGTATTAATCTTGACAATAAGGTCATTTAAAACTTCCTACCGTGTTGTTTTATTTCCATATGCAAAACTTAAAAGACATCCCTCGTACAATAATTGTGCGCAAATCTTCAAACTAAAAATAGCTATTACAGTGATATTAACATGCATACCAAATTATTAGTATAAATAAAACACTATTTATGTATTCTAAATAGTTTGTTCTCTAATGTACTTAATTTGTTCTATATTTTTGTCTTGCTTGCTGCCTCTTTATCTTGTATTAAGGGAGTTTTTCGATGAGCACATTCGCACTTAAGTGAGAAAGCCTCTGAAAAACTCTTCGACAAAACGTACTCCAATGTTGCAATGACAATAAAGCTACGGAGATTACAATAGTCAGTCACTACATTTCTAAAAATATTGAACTACTATGCTGTGCAGCAACTTTTTTTTATTCTAATGAAATTACCGAGATTTCAGTATGGCTCATTTTTTATGTTGACGAGATTGATTCATTAACAAGAGAACTAAACTTGAGTTTTCTCGCAGTAATAAAAAGTCGATGAAACCCGGCTCCACCGGAAAAATTATTTGTTACAGGCACCTAGCGTGCTATCTATGTGTGATTACTAAGTGGAGCAACAAAAAATTAGGCCGCACATTTTCTCAGGTTAAAATGTCTAAAGTTTTTTTAGTTAATGTATAATTATTATCATTAGCACTACAGCGGTAGGTGGAAAAGTTCGATGACACTGCCCTGTTTTCTAATTCCTTATCCAGCTTATTTTTTAATGAGTTAACATTCGTTGTACTCACTGTTCCTTCACAAGAAGAGTTTTCATGAATATATATACTAAGTGACATATAAATCCGAACACCCAGTTTAAATGGTTTTATTTTAATAAAAGTTGGTGAATGTATTTATCTTACTGTAAATAACAAGTGAAAAATTGTTCAGCCTTATCAGTTGGACATTCCGGTTTTTATACTGCTTTTTTTTTAATTCACTAACGCTCTAAAAATGAATATTTCAGCCGCAGTAAAGAATCAACGTTGGCGGATTTTGGTTCTTGACATCCTTTACGATCGGTTACGATGCCTAGAGTACGGAGACCTGTACGATTTCGTCTACTTAGTGAGTTTGATAGGGGTCGTATAGTGGGACTTCGGGAAGCTGGACTTTCTTTTCGGGCAATTGCAGTTAGAGTGCAAAGAAGTGTAGACACTGTGGTTAGGTGTTGTCAGGCATGGCTTCGAGAAGGCCGTACGCAAAGAGCAAGCGGCACTGGATGCCGCCGTAGAATAACAGACCGTGAAGATCAGAGGTAACATGAACGCGCAGCGTTATATCCACGAAGTTCTGGAACCCCATCTTTTACCCTATCTTGACACCCTGGCAGATCCAACTTTCCAACAAGATAATGCCCGACCACATGTTGTAAGAGTCACAATAGACTTCTTTCAACATAATGATGTCACATTGTTACCATGGCCACCAAGATCTCCCGACTTATCCCCAATTGAGCACGGGTGGGATATGATGGGTAGGAGATTGCTCAATTTGCAACGTCCTCTTCAGACTCTAGAAGCACTTCGAGAGGAGTTGGTGGTTGCCTGGAATGAGATACCATAGGAGGACATTGACCACCTGATCAGAAGCATGCCTAGGCGCGTTGGAGAATGCGTAGCACATCAGGGTGCATCCACACATTATTAAAGGTCAAAGGGCTTTAAAGCAGTGCAATCATTTTGAAATTTTTATCATGTACTTATTATGCTTCATTAAGTACTTATACAAAATTTTATTAAAATAAAACCATTTAAACTGGGTGTTCGGATTTATATGTCACTTAGTATATGTTCCTTTATTGCGGACATGCCCAGGATTGTCTCTCGTTTTTCATCTAAGTTTCCGTCAGACTACTTTGCTCTTTGTATTTGCGTAAAGTGACAAGACATCAGCAAGAAGTTTATGATCAAAAACTAGAAACATATCTGCCCCAACAAGTTGCAGATTTGGAATCTAACTGTATTGAATCGTCAGACGATTACACGAAAATCAATTAGACGTGGGAGTGGGAAGCACATCGCGGCGAATAGAAAAATCCTTTCAACTCCGCGGCTGGACTAGCAGCATCGGGAGCATTCAGCTGCAGTAGTGTGTTATTAAATTGTGCTTCTAGCACCTTTGGTAATTTATCTTCGAGCAATTATATGTAATTAGAACAGGTAAGAAATCGACAGGACCGATACCCAAGGAGTTCCCGTATAACGACATGGTCAGTTTGCAGTTCATATACCGTCAAGTCATTAACTCGGACGCTTCGAGAAAATTACAAGAAGCAACCTACGAAATTAGGTGTTGGTTTCAAATGAGAGATAAGGTATTATCGCACGATCGACATGTATGCGGGATCTGTGGTATTGGATATATGTAAGCATGTATCATGTAATCGATCAGTTTGACCAAAATTCTACAGAAGAACAGTTAAGTAGGTATATTAAAAGGATATTCTTATTGAATAAAGGAGTTTCTTTGACAGCTATCCATAACTTGAAAAATGATCTTCCAGTATTTTACTGGTTAATACAGGTAAGAAGTCATCGTTATAAATAATTTGAGAAACATTGCTCCTCTTACATATCAGCGACCTCCTTTCCTGTACGATCAATCCAATCCAAAGCTTTGTTGATGACAACAATCCACATGTAGGGTGTACAGAGTGACAAGCCGATCTCTACCAATGACGTGGAGGAAAGAAGACTATACTACAACTATTTAAAACTGTAATGACTCATACGCGTGATCAACATGTGATCAGAGCTCGATCCCGGCTTCCTTCCAGTACAGCCGTATAGCGTACGACATATGTCGTTTCTGTGGCTTTGCGGTGGTCAACAGCACAGACAGAGATGAAAATAATGGCTGATTCTCCGCCGGTAGAACCAATGAAATCAAAGACGCGCCTCGACCGGCAGACTCATAGGCGTCGGCAACGCATTGGAACGTGTTTCGTTGAGCGATCGCATATTGTGTGTTTTTATAAGAATTGTTGTGTGGTTGTTATTGTTGTGGTTTCTGTGGTTACTGTTTTGGTTATACTTAACCATGGAGAGTACAAATGGCACGAGTGGAAGTACTGAAAGCCAGGGAACAAGTAGACGGCTTCGTAAAGCACTGAAGAGGGACACGAAAGAAATCGTGCTCAACGTGTTCAATTATCTGAACAGAACTATGTTGCAGGGAGATGCACTCGCGCGTTGTGAAAGTATGACAGGCGTTCCAGAGTGGACCATTCGCAGGGTGGTGCATGAAAAGAAGAAAACTGGAGGGACGAAAGGCCGTTAAATTGGATGACGATAGCAAAATGGCGTTAAGGCGAACCGTACATTCATTCTTCTTTAGGAATGAGATACCAACCCTCAAGGCTGTACATGCAGCGATCAAGAAAAATGAAATTATACCCCAAATGAGCGTCGGGGTAATGAGGAAATCCCTGCATGAAATTAATTTTCGTTACGAAACGCGTAATCGGAAGTCAGTATTGATAGAGAGACCTGAAATAGTCGCCTGGCGTCGAAAATACCTACGCGAAATGATTGAATATAGGCGACAAAGCAGAAAAAACTATTATTTGGACGAGACATGGGTAAATGCAGGTCACACAGTTAAAAAAACCTGGATAGACAAAAACATAGTGAGTAACCGACAACCAAGCATTGAAGGTTTGTCAACAGGTGTTCGTGGACCGTCAGGGAAAGGTCAAAGATTGATCGTAACTCATATTGGTAGCGATACTGGCTTTTTAGAAGAGTGTGACTTGATTTTCGTCCCTAAGAAAGGAGGTGATTACCATGACGAAATGAATGCCAGCTGCTTCGAGAGCTGGTTTCAAGGGGTGCTTCAGCGAGTTGAGCCCAACTCTGTGATCGTCATGGATAATGCTTCCTACCATAGTCGTCGAGCCGAACGTGTACCGACTATAGGATCTCGAAGAAGTGACATGCAGCAATGGTTGCGCGAAAAAGGAATCCCGTTTGACGATTCATGTGTGAAAGCGGAATTGTATGAAAAAATTAAACAGCACAAACCTGCGAACATTAGTTACGTGACTGATGAGATGGCCCGTCAATGTGGTGTCACTGTGCTGCGGTTACCGCCCTACCACTGTGAACTGAACCCAATAGAACTCATCTGAGCTCAAGTGAAGGGTTATATTGCGCGCCATAACACAACCTTCAAATTACCAGACGTTAAGGTTGTACTTGAGACTTCCATACAGCTAGTAACGCCCGAAGCTTGGCAGAATGCTATCCGTCATGTTGTGAAGGAAGAAACAAAAATGTGGCAGCTTGACCACCACATCGACACCATCATAGAGCCAGTTATATTCAATTTCAACGAGGAAAGCGATAGCGACAGTTTATTACTGTCAGATGTAAGTGGAAGCGACGATGAATAAAGGTAATTCCCATATTTTTGACTTACAATATGTTTCAAACCACTCTTTATTAAGCATGTGACAAATCTAGTTCACCCATGTTAAACGTTCATACCCCGCCTATGAATTTTTGACTTACAATATGTTTCAAACCACTCTTTATTAAGCATGTGACAAATCTAGTTCACCCATGTTAAACATTCATACCCCGCCTATGAACAGCCGACTACTGGTAGTTAAGTGATGTTCACGTGAACATCGATGAGTCATTACAGTTTTAGATAGTTATAGTATAGTAACGACTTCCTCACTGATCAGAGACCTAGAGGTTGTCACTTCTTGGGCTCGTAAACAATCTAGTACAGCTTAATACTTCCAAAATACAGCATCGTGCTTTGACTAACAAGAAGCGCCCTAGCGCTCATCCCGTTTCTATAGATTGTAGAGGTCTACCAAAGAGGCGTTCAGTTCGGCTGGTCGGAGGCCAGATCACCGGAGACTTGATCTAGCACGAACACATCTCGGCAATAGCGGCAGCTGCTGGGAAAAAGTGAGGCTATTTGTTTAGGGCTAAGAAGTACTTTTCTTCACATACTCAGATGAGATTTAGCCTCGAATACTGCTCACATGTTGGGGGTACTGCAATCCGCACCAATCAGTCTAACTAGAAATGAAGGCGGCCACTTTCCTAAAAAAATAGGCAAACAATACCCGATACCGAGTATGCCACCAAAGAGTACGTTGGACGAGCATAAAATGTCAGGTCACTCTGTGTTTGGAACGTGATTGTTCTATACAATTCCATAGTTATTAGTTATAGCATAAGTTTTCATAATTTGTTACTACCAGTGATAAATAAAACATTTTCATTTTTACGTAGTTGTTTATATCTAATCAGCCCACTGTACTCGCATGAGTACACCTATTTTTTTCTAAAAATACGATTTTTTTTTGTCAAAAAAATAATTTATATTAGCATTCTGATACAACATCAAGCAGGAAATATAAAAAAGACCGTTTTTCTCAAAAAAAAAAAATGTCGTGGGTTCAAATGAGTTAAGGTATAGATATTAGAGCATATCGTAAAACCTAAGATAGGAATTTTGCTGGTTAATCAACCCTTGTGTTTTCAGGGTGTCGCATAAGACGAAAGGCTCATTTCTAGCCTCAATATAAATTCAAAATACAAAAATAAAAGGGATTTTGATTAAAAAATGTTTGGTCTGGTTTCACTTTGGGCTACCCTGTATATCAGAAAGTATTTTTTATGTACAATTTAGCTTTTCTTCACTTTCCTATAATAAGGAATCTATCGTACTTCGTCAGATCTTTGACCCGCCCTGTACAACGAGTCTAAGAGTCTTCAAACTCATTTTTCTCAAAACTTTTTTCACTGTACCCTTCATATATTTTTGACTAATAGTTATAAACAACAGTTTCCACTGGGTTACGTTCTTTTCAGGGGAACCGAAGAACGTATATTTTGGAATAAATTCTAGACACTGCGAAAAACATTTCATCGTATAATTTCATTAAATGAATGAAAACGGTTAAAGGGAATTTAAAGACAGTACCCCACGAAAGACCGGCACCATATAAGCTGCTATTGTCCCGCAATTATCGATAGCCTATTTTATGGAGATTATAACTATCCATAAGAAATGGGTGATTTTTCATTGTAATTCGAATTGCCCCACAAAATACATGGTGTTTCAGTTTATTGTTGCATAACTTTAAGATTCGATAGAACTTTTCAAATTAATGCATAAAGCCTATATGTTTATATATATATGGGTCGAAAAATGCGTGGCTTCCGATATACAGGGTGTTTAAATTTACTTTCTAAAATAGTTTTTTTAAATATTTCGAACAATATTTGATGTATAACAGTGAAAATTGGTATACAAGCGTTTTTTTGGTACGACAAAACGAACCATGGGCATAAGGAGGGCGCTCTCTACTGTACCTGTAGTGTATTAAAATGACCGAAAAAATTTTCTCATTGCAATTTTTTGCTTTTTGAATAAAAAAACTGTTTTTTCGCACTTTTCAACATGAAAAAGCTCTCTTGTGAATTTTCGTTATAGTTAGCCGTTTTTGAGATATTTCGATTTTTAAGATTCGATGCATTTTTAATTATTTATGATAAAATAACGTTAAAAAGTCAGTTTCTCGATAATTTTTAGAAGTAGGCTGTGCCTGCAAACATTTTTGAAATTGAAAGTATGCAGTTCGGGAAAGAAATTTTCAGCATGAATTTAGTGTGAACGTGTGG